GCTCCAGTTAAATACATTATTATGGAACTTATTGAATAAAGGCAAGTTATCTCCCAGCTCACAGATTTGACCTTGACCTGCCTCACCTCTCACAATATAAAATGATTTAAGCTTTTTCACATAAAGGCAGCCATACAATTTTCTATTTATGCCAACTATTTATGCCAACTATTATGTTAAAAACATTTAATTTCATTTAATATATTTTTAACTTGTCTAAATTTTCTAAACATTTTTAGATCTTTCCTACCTCATGAAGAACAAAAGTAGGCACACGAGTATGATAATCCTTTGATCCTTGTATGGAATGGTCACATATAAAGGAGACTATTATTGTAGTGGAACATCTATATCAATGCTGTTACTATTAAAGCATTTTAGCAGTAAAAAAAAAAAAAAAAAAAAGAAAGAAAATGGAAATTAAAATCACTCTATAAATGTTCAAATGGCCTGAAGTTTTGATTATGCTCCCGGGGTTATGGATTTAAAAACCAAACTTTGGTCAGAAACCATATTAACCTTTTAGAACAGTCACTATACCAATAATTTTAAGATATAATTTGGATCATTTCATTTCTTCTATGATTGAGTCACGGACTGCAGAGCTTTTAATGGAAGCTTTACAGATTCTGAAAGGACCAGGCAGCTGTTTAGGCTCTGCATGATTAGATGCTTAAAACTGGATTTAAATCCTCTAAAATATCAGTTTTGCTTCTCCAGTTCAAGATAATAGCACTGTATATTAAATGGGTTATCATTGGTAATTTGACGTGGACCACTGAGTTTATTGAAATTGCAGATCTCAACAATCTCAGTGCTGTCTGATTTAGCATGAACATCTGGAAAACTATTTTCTTGGAATTCAATTAATTTTTGTACTTTTGTGGTTAGCAGTTTTATATACCAGTTAATCTCTTTATTAGAGTTCTCGTAATTATTACTCAGCTCAATCGATACTAAAGTTATTAGAATCCCATAACCAAGAGTGCCTGTCAGGGTCCTTTCCATCCTTTTCATGAGCTTCATTGAAGACACAGCACTTTAGGATTTTACTTGCTTGTAAAGAGCTTTCAGAAAACATATCAGAATTAAGCAATTATCTGTAAACAATACTTAATATGGTCATGGTTAAATGCAGAATTGACGAGAACATTGTGTTATTTCTGTGGTCCACAATAATTTAACGTAATAACCATCATTATGACTGATAATGTATACTGAGACATATCAGAATTTTAGGAATATCATAAAATTTTGTAATGCATATAATAGCATATCTATAAAGCTATAACTTGGAGATTAAACATTATGTCTTTTTTTGGCAATGCTTCCCATATATTTTAACATATCAAAAAAGGCCATTTGTTATTTCTCTTTTGGAAGCTGCAGTGGCTTTTGGTAACATCCCAAAGTTAAAGATAAAAAATACTTAATTTTAGAATTTATTATTTTATTTTGGAAAGTTTGTCAAATACCAGGTATTTAGGACACCTAATATTAAATTAACAGTTTAAAACACAAATCAAAATGATATCACAGATTACTGTAAAATAATATTCATTTAGTGAAAGCAATAATAAAATGGTTTATAAGAAGCAAAATCCTTTATTCTTTGATTGAGAAGACACTCAGTTTTCCAATAAAAATTCTATAAAAGCATGAAACAGAATCTGCCTCTCCTCTCCTTTCTTTACTGCAGTTTACTTTAAAAGTGAAAAAAAAGTCTTTTACTATCTCATAAATATTACATGAATGTCTTGTTTAAATGAGAAAACAAAATTTTACTTTTATATTAGTGTATTATCAATACTAAAGATAGTTTTGACAAATTGTCATAAACAGATCCATCTATTTTCAGTTAGGTTTTGACAACAGAAGATAAGATTTCCATAAACCTTTTACAACCTCTTACAAATTAAATTTTTTTTATTCCTCAACTTTTTAGATTCCTTTAGTTTCATCTATATTATTTTTCTCCATTTTGAAACATTTAAATAACCTTTAAACTAGACAATATTACTTTTCTTTTAGGAAAAGCCATATCCTCAAACCTTTTTTGTAAACTTCCTCATGAAAAACACATCTTACTTTTCTAAAACTCTCTGCATATAGAATTATTTCTTATATTGAGTAATTTTAATTACATATGGTAATCAAAATTTTGACTCTATACCCAATCTCCAGTGAAAAACTTAGGAAGGAAGTAATTTTGAACTATTTTATATCAGTATTTATAGATGAAAACAATTTCATAAATTTTTAGAAAGATATGTTTCTTCAATTTTTTAATTAACAGGTATAAATATATTTACCTTTTCTATACCATCTAAAAATTAGATGCCAAAGTATATGAACTGCAACTGAAACATATGTTTAATAATTAATATTTCAGTATTTTTACTTACCCAAAATTGACTCAGTTTATGATTACATATTATTTAATTTAACATGAGTTTAAGATTTTTGAAGTGATTTGAAATTACTAAAAAGAATTTTGAAATGATGACACACATACACTTCCTAACATCTTCCCCAGTTGTCCTGGTTCCCAAGAAATTACCTGGCACTCAAGAACAGGGATGAAGTACAGGGCCTGTCTTGGCTCTAAATTTACATATCAATATATCAAAATACAGAGCTGAGGACAGAGGACAGGTCTGTGAAGAGGATGCCTGGAGAATCCAATCCCTCCAAGTATGGGCAGGGAGAAAAGCTGGGCCATATAGCATGGGGCCATACTGTTCTTGGCTCTGCCTTGCAGTTGATAGCCCAGGTGCTGAGGACATACAAATATCCTAAGACTTCACCATGGACACCTGTGAAGATCCCAAATTCAGAGGCTCAAACCAAAGACATACTCTCATAGTAAGATGTGTGCAAGGCTTTGGGGGAACTCAGGAGCCAGGCTTTACAGCTTTAGCTCACAGACAAATCAAGCAATCATAAAAAATTTACAAAAGCAAAAATTTTACAACCTTAAAACATGTAGCAAAGACAGCATAAATCTGTCCAACCCAGTAGACGCAGGCAAAAAAAGTCTGAAATATGTTTAATAATGACAATCCTGGAAATATTCCTATTTTATTTTCCCAGCAATTTAAAAACTAGCATTAGGGCTGGGTGCAGTGGCTCATGCCTGTAATCTCAGCACTTTGGGAGGCCGAGGCGGGTGGATCATGAGGTCAGGAGATTGAGACCATCCTGGCTAACATGGTGAAACCGTGTCTCTACTAAAAATACAAAAAAAAATTAGCTGGGTGTGGTGGCAGGCACCTGTAGTCCCAGCTACTCAGGAGGCTGAGGCAGGAGAATGGCAGGAACCCGGGAGGCAGAGCTTGCAGTGAGCCGAGATCACACCACTGCACTCCAGCATGGGTGACAGAGTGAGACTCTCTGTCAAAAAATAAAAATAATAAAAATAAACAAATAAATAAATAAATTAAAACGAGCTTTATTTACCAAATATTTTATCACATAACACATAGAGACATACAGAAATGCAGACATACAAGAAACTATTTTGTAGCTTTCACTATGATTTTTCATTTGTGAGCTTCCAAATGGTTTTTATTTTCCCTATTCAGACTATAGATCTTCCAATCGACTGTTGCATTGCCCTAAGCAACTGTTACTATGCAATCCTAAATCTGCACTTTTAAAGGGATGACTCTTAGGTTAAATGATGTAGATAATTTATACCTCAAAAGCGCAGAGCTAAGACTTAAAACTTAAATACTGTACCATCATTTGCTCAGCACCTCCTTCCCTAAAAAAGAGGTTTTAGGTATAGGTCCTCTCAAGAAAAAAATAGCCAGTAAAAGAACCTTAAACAAAATTAAGACCTATTATGTAAATTTAAACCAATGACAAGAAGTTTTAGTGACTCAATCTTTCCTCCAAGTGAACAGAGTCAGATACTCCTGCAAATAGAAATTACAAAATAGCTAGCTAAATGCCAGACAGGTGTATTTGGGAGGGGAACTTAGTTCAACAGATGCTCTTTTAAATTTATCTGCTGTTTCTTAGATAAATTTACTGAGTTTGGGGTGAAGTCCATTAAGGAATAGGGCAAAGAAAGCATTGTCTATGCCTGGATTCACCATGGATAGCTCTGAAAAAGAAACAAGTCTATTTTACCTGAAGACCTGCTTTTTATAAACACCTCATTGGGCTTTATTTTCACATTCAAGGCAGAAGAGTCACTAAGCCAAAAGGTTAAGGGATTTTGTTTTTTCTTATCCACTGGGCACTTAAGCTTTTTTATTTCTTTTTGTAAAGAGCCTTTTAAAAGACAGTAAAAATATTGAAATCTCTTTAGAACCTTACGCACATCAATAAGCATTCCTGAGTTAGTCTAATTGAAGTACTTCATTTTTAAACATGCTTCTTAAAGTGCAGTGCTGTTTTTTTGGAAAGTTCCACTGTAGTTTTAAATTATCTTATGTAAGTTTTTGTCATTTTTATAAGCATTTGCTGCTTCCAGGGCCTAATATTTATATAAATAAATGTAGGCATAGCCAGAAGGTGGAGTACTAATTTCTTCAAAAATTAAAAATGCCATTTTTTGTGTGGACTCTTGGCTTTGATTCTCAGATATTTTTCATCAATTTAGCCAATGATTTTTCCCTACCTAAGCTCACAAGGAAAAGAAGCAAAAGGAATAGAACACAAAAATCCCAGTTAATTTCTGAAAGCCAGAGTTTGCAACCCCTGCAATATTGCCATTTACTGCCAGTTTCTGTCTGATCCAGTCAGATATCCAAGGCCTCTAACTGGATCCTATCCAGTTAATTTTCAAATCCAATCTGACCTTGAACCCAGGCCATTAGTATCTTTCTCAACTTTTGAACCCAGTCCAGATAAAAAAATGTGCCAAACAATCTTGTATAGCTCAAACACAAATGCATGGAGCTTCATAATCTAAGAGAAAACTTATCCATGATCCCTAGCAGCTGTGAGAGAGTAAAGGACACAATGGGCCTAGTAGGTACCTCACTTACTTGGTCACTTAATGCTCCTAAGGATCACTGGAAGCTTTAACTTTGATCCCACATCTAATACCATCTGTTAAAAGAGAGAGAGAGAGAAATTAGATTTAACAGAGTTTAATTGATCAAAAATCAGTTAATGAATCAGGCAGTTCTCCTAAACCAGAAGAGATTTAGTGTGACTCTGGGGATGCTGTATGGTCAGAAAAAAAGAAAGTGACATACAGAAAATGGTAGTGAGATACAATAATAGCTGAATTGGTTACAGCTCAGGGTTTGCCTTATTGAACATGGTTTGAACATTTGGACAACTGTGACTGAAACTTTGTGATTGGCACAAGAGGTTATGATCTATTTATAACTCCAGTTAGGTTACAGTTCACTATGTACAAAGAAACCCTTAGGCCAAAGTTAAAATATGTAAGGTGACAGCTTTAGTCTAAATCTAATTTAACAAAATGTTGAATCAACTTTGCATTCCATAGATTAATAGAATGATAGATTATTAGATTAATCCCACTTGATAACGGGGCATAATATTTTTATATGTGACTTGATTTTGTCTGATAGTATTTTGTTGAGTATTTTTGCATATATATTCATAATGGATACTGAAGATTTCTTTTCTTCTTACTTCATTGTCCAGCATTGGCATTGTGACAATACTGGCCCCATAGTATACGCTAAGAATTATTCCCTTTAATTCTATCTTTTAGAATAGTTTGAGGGGTAGTGCCATTCATCGTTTAAACATTAGGTAACATTTTTGAGTGATTACATCTAATTTGGGCTTTTCTTTGTTGGAAGTTTTTAAGATACCGAAAAACGTCTTTACGCCTTACAGATATATTCATAATTTCTATTTCTTCTTGAGTAATTTACAGCAGTTTCTGTCATTCTAGGAATTTTTCCATTTCATCTATGTTTTTCAATTTGTTATACAATTGTTCACAGTATTTTTAATAACACATTTTATTCCTTTATCGTTAATAGTAAAATCCCCTTTTGCCAAGGGTCTCAGTGTGCATGCTGGGGCACTGAATTCAACACTCAGTCAGATGATCTGCACCTGTTTCTTAGTCTTCACTTTCTGTTTACCTAGATCCTCAAAGTCAGCCAGAAGTCATACATTTGTGCCTGTTCAGATCTCTCTTTAGCATGCACACATTTCTATGCATGCATTTGTCTTTTTAGTATCCCCGAAATTGGTTGAACCATTTCAAAGCCCATATGCATTTTTCACTCCTCATCTTTTCCTCTTAAGTTTGCTAGACAATCTATTGTTGGCCTAATATCCATCATCTCAGGCAGGAGCAACTAAAACAATTGTATTTAAATGTTTTTGAGTCATGTCCACAGAAAAACCACAGAAAGTGGTTTTTAATACCGAGTCTTGCATCAGGCAAAATAATGACTAGATTTTCAAGTTGGGTGTTACAGGGACAACAAAAGATGTTAAATAGTGACTATTCTTCGGGAATGTGACTTTGAAAGATGTATACCACTGGCATGCTCTCTTTAGTATCAATAAGGTGAACTGTTATATTTTCCACGGGTTCAGACAAGCTGGAATATAGGGAATAGTATCACTTCTAGCTAAAATGGATAAAGCTCCCTATTCTTAATAATATTCAGCCATTTTTCTCCATTTTATTCCCTAGGTTTCTATACACATTTGATTAATTTGCATAGTTCCAACAGTGTTGATTTTGAGTTTTTCTTTTTTTTTTCCTTGTTTTTTTCCCTGAAAGTCCCTAGTCTACCATTTTACTGACAAAAATTGTATTCGATTTTTAAAAATCTTTAGCTGCAGGCAAGGTGCAGTGGCTCATTCCTGTAATCCCAGCACTGTGGGAGGCCGAGGTGAGGGGATCACCTGAGGTTGTGAGTTTGAGACCAGCCTGACCAACATGGAGAAACCCTGTCTTTACTAAAAATACAAAGTTAGCCAGGTGTGGTGGCTCATGCCTGTAATCGCAGCTACTCGGGATGCTGAGGCGGGAGAATCGCTTGAACCCAGGAGGCGGAGGTGGTGGTGAGCTGAGATCACGCCATTGCACTCCAGCCTGGGCAATAAGGGTAACACTCTGTCTCAAAAAAAAAAAAAAAAAAAAAAAATCTTTAGCTGCATAAATGACTATACTTCTGCTGTTTTACTGACTTTTCATAAATGTTTTTGTGGTAACTGTTTTTTACCTTGCACCAAAAAAAAAAAAAAAAGAAATGGAAAAGAGTGATGCACCTCAGTGCACTTTCCTCCCAGTGTGCAGGCCAGTCAGATGTTCTCTGAGAACCCCTTTATACTCAGCTGTGTCACTCCCCCCTGTAAGGAAGTACATCTAACAGACATTAGAATAAAGATAAGGGTAAGAATGAAGACCAATCTTAACTTCTTCCTGCTGACAGAGGGCGTTGTTTTGGGGAAAACTGCAGTCAGAGCTCCCTTAAAGGCCTATCTAAGGGTTCCCAGCAAAACGGACTATTCTCTGAGGCTCCAGTTGCATGACCATTTGTAGTTTGATGGCCTAAAGCCAAGAAAAGACAAACCGGGTTATTAAAAAACACATATCGAAATGAAACAAGGGGAGGGGTAAGGACAGCTTAAAAATCCCAAGGCCTTTTACCAGTGGGCATAGGGAGAGGAAGACTGAAATCATGATTGGTAAAACAAACAAACAAACAAACAAACAAAACCTTTACTCTTTTGCTGGCATGTTGGCCTTCTGGGTTCCCTTCCCTTGAGCCCAACCCTAAGCCAACCAGTTTAAGGTTTGGGAAATTAACTCTTTCCAGTTTGGAGGATGCATCTGAGGGTAGCATTCCATAGTACGGAGACACAGTTACCTATCAGTGAAGAGAGGACAGAAGAGGAGAATAGAAAAAATAAGGAGCTTTTCAAAGGAGTCCCAGATATCAGGATGCATTTGGAAGGGGTACAGACTCAAGATGAATGGCTACCCATCAAGAAAGAGGGGAGCAGGCATTCCTGGTTCCCTTTTCTTCCTAGCAGATACCCAGAATACATTAGGGAGAGAAGGAAGAGCATCCTCTTTCCCTTTTCCGTCCTTGAATCCCCAAGTTCTGGGAATCTTGGCAGGTGCCACCCATTGGTGCCAAAATGACTTGCACCCATGAAACAGGGAGGGCCTAGAGAATAGAAATTATCTCCTCTCATCTATGTTTCTAAGCCAACTACTGATAGTAGCTTTGATGTTCCCTGGACCTCATTTATGCCATGGATACTAGCATGACTTTTATCCATGAAACAAGAAGCTTGGCTTGATTGGCAGGAATTAGCAATGCTTGCCTGTGCTGCATATATTAGCTTCTGTTGTCACCTGTCTCTGGATCCCTTAGGTTGTTTTCTTCTTAAGGCTTTGACCTGAAGCTTGAAATTGAGTTTGGGAGAAAAATGTGTCTTGGGGGCGTTGCATGGACTCCTATCATAAACCGAATACTAAAGTGAGGCTGTAGAAATGAGTCCTCCTTCAACAAGGGAGACAAAAAGATGTCTTGTGACATGACCAGATAACCAGTGGCTATAGCTATGCTTGGTAAATTTTGGGTGCAGGGTGCTTGTATTGGGTTAGCTCCCTTCGTCTTACTTTCCCAAAAAGGAAACCTCTAATTGGTGGGCATCCTATTTATTCCCATCACCTGGCAGCATTTGCAGGATAATTGCTCAGAACTTGAGTACTGATCCAGATTTTTACATTACCCATCCCTCTTGTTATTTCTGAGATGCAGCCAGAGATTGCTGATTGGTTCACAGGAACAAGCAGAGTTAGTCTAAAATGTAGGCGAAAACGTAAAAACAACTAGTGAGTTTAGAATTTAATGACAAAAGTATGATAAGTTTTGAAACATAATTTCTTTACATATAGTTCTAATTTTTGTTAAAAAAATCAAATCATGATAGGGCTAAGTGGTTTGTAAAATAGACTTTAGTCTTACATTTGGCCTGATTACTTGCATAAAGGGAAGCAAGAATAACTATTTCTACATAGGACCTTTAGATTGGCTTTGAAGAAACTGTTCCACAAGAAGTCTCAGATAAGACATATACATATATACACACACACACACACACACACATATAAATATGCTTTTAGTTTTTATTATACTTTAAGTTCTAGGGTACATGTGCACAATGTACAGGTTTGTTACATATGTATACATGTGCCATGTTGGTGTGCTGCACCCATTCACTTGTCATTTACAGTAGGTATATCTCCTAATGCTATCCCTCCCCCCACCCCCCACTCCATGACAGGCCCTGGTGTGTGAAGTTCCCCTTCCTGTGTCCAAGTGTTCTCATTGTTCAATTCCCACCTATGAGTGAGAACATGCAGTGTTTGGCTTTCTGTTCTTGCAATAGTTCGCTGAGAATGATGGTTTCCAGCTGCCTCCATGTCCCTACAAAGGACATGAACTCATTCTTTTTTACGGATGCGTAGTATTCTATGGTGTATATGCGCCACATTTTCTTAATCCAGTCTGTCATTGATGGAAATTTGAGTTGGTTCCAAGTCTTTGCTATTGTGAATAGTGCCACAATAAACATATGTGTGCATGTGTCTTTATACCAGCATGATTTAAAATCCTTTGGGTATATACCCAGTAATGGGATGGCTGGGTCAAATGGTATTTCTAGTTCTAGATCCTTGAGGAATCGCCACACTGTCTTCCACAAGGTCTGAACTAAGTTTATAATCCCACCAACAGTGTTAAAGTCGTTTCCTATTTCTCCACATCTCCTCGTCAGCTCTCGATATGTTAATGATTGCATCTAACTGGTGTAGAGATGGTTCTCATGTTGGTTTTGATTGCATTTGTCTGAATGGTTATGTGATGATTGAGCATTTTTTCCTGTAATCATGTTGCTGCATAAATGTTCTCTTTTGAGAAGGTTCTGTTCTCCAACCACATTTTGATGGGGTTTTTTTCTTGTAAAATTTGTTTGATTCTTTCTAACGGTTCTGGATATTAGCACTTTGTCCCTGAGTAAGATTGCAAAACTTTTCTCCCATTCTGTA